CCCGGATTTTCGGTTCCTCTGTATTTTTTCTTCTGTTTTTAGCTTTTGTAATTTATTTTACGAAAACAAATATGGCTAAAGTAAGAGCTATCTGTCTCTCGCAAATATTATATTACAATAGACAGATGGATGTAGGAAGAAAAGAAAAACTTTAGGGATTGTAAAGCCAATGTCTAATTTCGAGGACTAGGATATGCTAATTTCGCTACCTATGTTTCTATGGTAAATCTTTATATATAACTAACATACTTGTGTATATATATATAAACTAATATATATTTTCAATTTACATCTGTCTCATGATTTCGAGCAATCATTTCAAGGATTATCGCGGCACGCAGCTTGGTTCGTTCTCAGAGAGGCGTCACCTTTCAAGTCAATGCACGAAACAGCAGCAATAAGCGATACTGTTAATTAATTAGATATATAGCGTTTGTCGAAAAGCGCCAAGAAAGTGATCCAAGACGAACGGTAGACATTGCGCTTGCCGATCGGGCGCCAGCGATTCGGCAAACTTGTATAGAGACGGGAACTTTGATGCCGATTTCGTTGATTGCTATGTACGCGAACAAGATATTTGAAGCAATACCGAAAGCAGATTAAAAAGGCGGAATATAAGAACAACGAGAAAAATGTTATGGATGTTAATATTATGTGACTACAACAATACAAGTAATCTCGAAAAAAGATAATATGAAGGTGCTAAATAAGAAGTATCTTTCAAGAAATTTGCACTCGAAGAAAACTTGTCCTTAACGAAAATTCGCGACTAGCTATATTTGTTATGATTTTTTATTTTTAATATTAAAAAAGCGTTTATTCAGTGAAACCTAATTAAATTAAATTAAGTTGATTGATTAGATTAGTTTGAATTAATTTGATATAAATAATTTAATAAAAGCTAATATAAAAAGCATGCACAATCTTAAAGTAATTAAAATTAATTAAAGATAAAAGTTTTATTGGTTTATTATGTTTAATATTTGATAAAAAATTTAATTCAATCGCTAACATTTTATTAAATAAATTCCTCGGTAAAATTTTCGTTAAGGATAATCGGAAGAAAATTTCGTGAGGTATAACGTTCCGTTAGGATACATGAATTATCTTTAATAATTGCTCTCGTACAGAAACAAACGGATCATCAAAGTGTTCCGGCAAAGTTCGCCCGGCGCTCTAACGGCTTTAAATAATAATACCGTAATTGTGATAAAAATAGTTAATTAGTAGGTAAACATATACGATGTAACGATCGTCGACGCGATTACAACGACGATCCACGACGGTAGATAAGAAGCAGATTATCGCGAGTAAAATAAATGCATACAGGGATGATAAAAATATTACGTAAGACGTAAGGGATAAAAATCATTATTGCGTATAATCGACATTAAGCGATCAGATAGTTTATAACAAACCTGTAGACCAGTGATATAGGTAGAGAAGTATATATATATATTATATATATATAACATATTAACGAATATCGGACTACCACTGCGACGTAAACGAGTAAACGATGTACTTATACATATACATTAGTCAATGTTCAATGTTGAGATATTTATCTGAAATAAAATACATATACGTTGTTTACACCATATCGTCTATTATGTAAAAATATCATTTTTCTAATGTTCTAGATAAGAATGTCCTTTTTATTCTGAAACATATTTTAGGTGTCCTATAATTTGCACCAGATTTCACGATAGAATTCTATCTGTTTATAATTTTATTTGCCGCATATTTTGATGTACATTTTATATGCTGTGTGTATTTCAATATATATTTTATGTATGCATGTGTGTATTTTTGATTCTTTAAATGTTTTTTACATTGGCACACAAAATTATAAATAAAATATTTTAAATTTCAATCAATTATAGTTTATCAGCAAGCTTAAAACCTACTTTAGATATTCTATAATTCACTTCGGAATACAGATAGAATAAAATTCTATTTGTATATTCTACATCAGAATATTTAGGTACACATACGTATAAAAATCAGAATATTTACACATACACATATAAAATATATATTAAAATATTAATATACACGGCGCAATTATAAATAAAATTCTGTTCTGAATTCTGATGAGAATTAAATCCGTATAATAGCTCTCCTCTCCCTCACCAAAATTTAATTTAATAGTATTTAACGATTAATTTGATAGAATATTTAATAATATTGCAATAATATTGCAATAATACGTTTTATTCGTCTAAATACGTTTTAATATAGAAGTTTTATTATTTGAATTAATTAAACATTGCGAACTCAAACTGTTTTGTTAATTAGTAATACAAAATATTTTACTTTTATTGTACTTTAATATTATCTAGAATTTTTTTCGGAATGTATGGTTTGTGAAACGTTTAAATAACGTTAAAAAAATCGAATTTTTTTTACCATGGTAAAATATACTACCAAAAAAGAAAATAACAATATGCATGTGCCGTATAACGACTTTATTGTGGATTTCGCTATAAGTTTAAAAAAAAAGATTCATCGTAAATGGTATCTCATACAGTAAAAAACGAGCCAAATCATATAATAACCTGGATAATATTTTATGTAGTTTAAATATATGAATGTTCCTCACATTGTAAAGTGCAAGCATATTTAACAGTAAATCTAGTACAAAGTATATAGTTTACACATTATAACCAATTATACTCGATTTTAGCGCAATTGAGTATTAATATTTATCTTAAAGTATCTTAACATAAGAGATCCGTCCATACGGGAAGTTTAACCATTTGATGATCCACGGATTTATCAACAAAGCTTCTCGACCTTTTCGCGAAAACTTTCTCCTTTATGCTCCTAACTTATCCTACTCGAAATGATTTACGAGCTTACACTAATGCCACTCCCGATTTATACATATTTTCGCATACATTCACGCTACTCGAATACGTTTACAAAGCAAAAGGATAAATAGAAACACATGTCGAAGCTTTTAGGCGTGTTTATTTATCGAAAAGCGAAGTGGATTTTCAATATTTGATGAAGGGTCAAGTTGATAACTGTTACTCTAAAATTTTAATCTATTAAATATTGCAAATATTTTTATTTCATGTACAAAATGCTTTCAAAACAAATAAAAATCATAAAATAAGAGATAAAAATATTAATATTCAATGTAAATCTATATTGTAATATTTTGTAAGCACGGGCAAATTGCGTGGTAAGGTTTTTATGCATCATGGTTACTTTAATCTCTTTTATATTAACAGAAATATTAAAATACAAATATTTTCAGTAATAAAACAAAAAATAATGCAATAAATTATTATATTACAATCTACATATATGAAACAGCTGGGCATGCTTGCATTTTACGATATCGGTTATGGATACCAGTTGCGAATCAAAATCTGCACAGTCGTTTGTAAGAAAAAAAAATAAACGTATATCTGAAGTAAAGTCAATATTTCTGTCAAATCCTGAAAATGAGAGATATATGTCAGTTACTAAACATATTCGTACATATTGCAGTGTTATGCAGTCCTCGGGCGAAATTCTACATGCCTCTTGTGTTACCCAAACATAAGACCATTATATGTCGGCCCGATAGGTATTCCTGCGAACGTACGTGACGTGTATTTGCGAAAGAGGGTTCGGAAATACGCGGACAGGCTCTGGGAGTCCCGGGGAAAAGTAAGTGATACAGAAAGTTTCGGCAGCTTTCGAAAACTTTTCTAAATCGCGAGGGACTTTCGAGATCCTCAAAGTCCGAGAACCGTTGATTCCTGGGGATTTGATCTCTCCTGAAAGCTGCCGCGCGGCCCCCGGAACGTTTCCTAAATCACAAGCTAAATCTTACATCGCGCGAAATCTCTTGGAATTTATATGGCCGCCGACAATGAAATATATCGCTGAACGAAGGTAGAAAACTTTTGGAGAGTTTCGCCGACTTTTTGCCGGCACGTCGACGGGGGTTTGCCGGCCAAACGATTACTTTTATAAGAACAAAAATACTCGTAAGAACGAAGGTGGTTTTGGAGCCAGTGGAGCTATGAGAGAAAAGTGTTTAGCGCTATCCGCAGTTTAGGATATGAAATCATTCTCTATTTCTCTCATTTGGCTTTTCAGATAGCTTTTGGCAAACTTGTTCGATGTGGTCTATGAAGAATTTGGTTTTATGTCTTAATATATCTGAAACCACTTCTAGCTATCAATTTCTTTTATTTGTGGCCAACATTAAGATACGTTTATGTGAATAATGTTTGTTTGATATTGAAAAATACGTCTCTTTTTAAATTTTATAGATACAACACTCTAAAAAAAAAAAAAATTATATACGTAGATATACGAATGTATATTAAATAATTATTTAATATGTTTCTAATTAAATAGTTGCGTATTTTTAATTCTAATGACTTGTGATATTTGTTGTAAAAGCAGCTGTTCATGCTTCTAATGTTGTTATAACAGTTTCGATATTGAAAAAGCATAGTTTCATTTATTTCAATGTCGCAATTATTCCGATAGATTTTACAAAGCAACCTTTTGTGTAAATCTACATCCATATCTAGATACACTGAGAGAAAAAAAATAACCGGACAAGTTCAGTTTCGATCGTCTCTGGGTTAACGGTATGAGAGATACCAAGTATATCCTATCTTCGTGCCCTATCCTCCCCCTGCGTCCAGGTGTTACGGTGGAGGGGTTGCGCACAGGGTCGGTAGCGGTTCGTATAGGGTGACGGTGACGGTTTCGAGTGACGGTTCGGAGGACGGAGAGTGCCGAACGGAGGAGGGTTAAAGGGTGTCCGCGTCGGTGGTAGGTGGTGAGTAGGGCGGTGGGGTCGAACGCCGGTGTGCGGCGGGATCCTCTCTCTCTCTCTCTCTCTCTCTCTCTCTCTCTCTCTCTCTCTCTCTCTTTCTTTCTGTCACTCCCTCTCTCTCTCTCCCTCTCTCTCTGTGTGTCTCTCTCTCTCAACCCGGTCGGGGATGCTGGATCCACCGTCGGTGGAAACTTCAGTACGCGATCAGCCACCGACGTGTGTTTACGGTCCGAGGCTCCGGCGGAAGCGGCGAGAGAGTTGTTTGCGCTTCGGGGGTGAGAATACCTTTGTAACTTCTGTTCACCACGCCGTCGCCGCCGTCAACATCTTCATCATCACCACCACCAGAATTAGGATCGGTCCCGCGTGTTATCGCCTAGAAAATAAATCGGCAATTTTCAGGATCGTCGCCGGTTCGAATGTCACGGATCGCGAGTTTTCATCCGGGACAACGGACCGCGAAAACTGCTTTTATCAAGCGAAAATCGGCGTTGCGTTGAATTGAATTGAATTTTAGTGTAGCTAACTTTCCAGAATGTAGATGTAACAATGAATAATCGGCTTTAAAGAATGTTGATGATTTTTTCAAGTGAGTATGCTTTTGTCGAATATTAATTTAGATGCAGCGAATGACATTTTCGATATCAATATGAGAATCGTGATATTTAAAATTAGTAAAGAGGGAAAAATCTTAAAATAATATAATCGCCAGTGACTTATGCGGATTTTCATTATTTAAATGACTCTTCTAATTGTAATTCTTATTTTAATTAAGATCTGACAGTATCTCGTTTCTATAAAGGAATATGTAATTGCATTATATAAAAATAAGTGTCAGTTATCACTCACTCTTGTCACTCAGTACTCACTAATGCTGCATCTACCTTTTTATACGCTCTCATCAATGACTGACACTTTCTATAAATGCTCAAAGTTTGTTTCCACGAATTGACTATAACTCTCTAACGTTCAACGAAGGAAACGCGAACCAAAACAGTTTGCAAGCTGAAACAGTCAAAGTTTCGTTCGTCGCTTTAATTGGATACATTCCCCAGAATAACGTATGGAAATCTCGCGAACTTGCCCACAAGTTGCCGAAGTTTCGTGTTGTTTCAGTGTCAAGGACCATAGTATGCGCGTTGACCTTAAAACCGTCGGGATAACCGGAAGCGACGCCGAGAAAGCGATGGTAATGTTTTTGATTGATTTTCGTAAGAGCCAAGAAAGTTTAATCATACTTCTCGAGATGTTGACAAACTTGTAAAACAGATGCTCGCCTTTGTAATTTAACAATCTATTGAGATGAAAAGATAATCTAATGAAGAATTTTACGGAGATTTCATGGAAAAATAATTTTCTTTTATATCATGTTTGTATGGCGAATTAAAAATCATCGTCATTCGATTAGAAGATTGAACGCGAATTGAAAATGATAATCGCTAGTATTACAGTTTCGTCGCGATTAAATATCCTTAATTACATTTTCAAAGAAATGAAAATTACTACACTTACGTTTAATGCTTAAATGTGTGAGAGCATATTTATGAAATTAAAGTAATTGCCGGTATCTCGTTATCGCTTTTACAAATTTCAAATCCATTATCAAAATTGAGAGCTGATTTCCTGCCTTTCCCTGGAAGGGAAACTCCTAATTAGCGTGAATTTTGGCTGAACATGGGAAATAACCTCAAGCTATTAACGTGTTTGCTCTCGTGATTGCAATAATTGATATAAATGATTTATTTATTCATACAATACTTAATCTGGCAACAACAATTATTATTAATTCCGTGTAAAATTATTTCGTATTCAGAACGATATGAATTATTTTTGTAACAATGAAAGAAAACGAGATAACGGTTTCATTATTGAAATAAGATTTGATTGACAGATTTTTGTCGGGGACAAATTGTCGAAAATGTCACAGAGTCTGAGAAATGACAATAGCCAGAATAAAAAGTTTTTAAATTTTGTTTCGAACTAATTATTTTTTAAATCTTATTCATAATCAATTATATTTTAGGATAACCAGAACATTTGTTCGTGTAACATTCTACTTACAAAAGTTACGGTTTGAATAACATTTTAATATCAAATTGGAAAATATATGCGGTAAAGCATCCCAATCGACAATATGAATAATCTCCGAACGCGTGTCATCCAGCTTGAATGTTCTTAGGCATGCTGGAGGATTAGGCATTCGACGATCCATTCGACGGATTCGCTCAACATTTCCGACATACAGGGTCCGGGAACGGGTATAGTCGCGATACGCGGCGGGGCATTCGCGTCGGTGCTCTCAATGTCAAGGCGTTCGGCGATAGAAGTGCATCAACTAAAAGGGGTGGCCTCTCGCATCGGGGGTATCTGAGGCTCCTCGCGTAAGAACGCCAGGAACGCGATGCTCGGCACGCCGCGGCGGTAGCGTTGCCGGTGCCAATACCTGGTTTGTGGTAGAACACGTAACCGACGTTGGTGCACCGAGGGGCGGCAATGCTGGTGGTGGTGGTGGTGGTGGTGGTAGTGGTGATGGTGGTGGTGGTTGATGGCGGTGGCGTTGGCGATGTGTAAAAGTGGTAGTGGCGTAGTAGAACGAGAGTAATAGCGAGGCGCAGTGGTGGTGGTGGTGGTAGCGATAATACTAGCGGAGAACGTAGTACATAGCGTAGAGCGGCTACGACGCTATGGCCGCCCCCCCGAGTTCATGAATGAACGACCACTTCGTTCTCGCACGAGCGCTAATGGGCTCCCTTTCTCGCGCGGCGAACCGTTTACGTATTTTTGTCGATGCGACGTAACTCTCGCGGTTGAGTACACCGTCCGATTATTGCGCCCAAGGTTAATTATGCCTTTTATCTGATTTACAATCCGAGAAATGGAGCGATCTCCGCGGGAAGATTTCAGGATCCCTCGCGTGACCGATACTGAATTGAACAGTTCGGCGATCGCCGAACGCCAAGAAGAACATTTGATTTCTTCTCGAAAAGCTTTTTTCAAAATAAAAAAAAGATAGAAGAGCGTAAAAATCGTACTGTTGTAATATATTCTACATTAAATCATTGTTCTCTAAAGAATTTGATGTATTAAGCCAGTGAAAGCTCGTAATAAGTAAAAAAAAATTTATTATCCTTTAATGAAACTTTTGTCAAAGAAAGTTAACCGTCGATTAAGTGTGTACGATTCCGGGAGCATCCCCATAAAAGTTGCATTACGCCAATTCTAGTTTTCTGGTTCTGACGGCAATGTGGTAGCAAATGCGCATCTTCTATAAAGATCAAGCTGCGAGCACAATCATATATACGTTATTTCTTTCCGGAACTTCCCGACGGCGGAACTTTCATCATGATCAAGGGTGTTGACCTTTTTCTAAAGTCTGGATAGAGAAAGACGACGACGCTTCTTGCGGCGTGCCCGCGAAGCCACGACGTAACCAACTTCGCCATTATTATCCGTTGTTGTCTACACTTCCGCCCACTATATCTACTTGCAAGTGTTTTCGGGCCGTTACTAATTTCTAAAAACTGGAACATCGCCAACATTGGAATCCTCTATATTTCTCTAAGGAGAATTTACTTTCTTTGTACGATTTCTTAATTGCGATCACGTCTTTGCCGGAGAGCAGAAACAATATTCTTTTATGTAATACGTTTCCATAAGTGGAACATTACATAATTCTCGTTACATTTGAGGCAATATATAACGTGATTATTTAACGAATTAAATGATAAATTATGTGATAAACTGTGTTTTATACGTGTTTTGTATTTTGTATTTTATTCACCGCGTGTGTTATTCATGCAGCGTAATTGTTTCTCCGGTTTGTAAATACATTAAAATTTATATTATTTTATAGCGCAGTGAAAGATTGAAAAAAATTGAGGAAAAAAATTTTTACAATTGTTATAAAATATCAAACAGTTTTAGAAGTTATAACAAAATAATAGACAGAATATAATCTACGTATAACTTTATTTGGAAAAAAAAACAAAGAATTAGAATTATTATGTCAAAAAGAAATATTCATCTTTATTATTTTTTTTGCTATGTGAGAATACTTAAGATGGGTTTTATATTTCTTTACAATTATTATGAAAATAATCACGTTTGTGCACTACATTTGCACACGTTAAAATTATTTAATTATTACTACTGCTTTCGGCATTTTTCAAAGATATGTGGAAGTATAAAAGACAATATTTGGCATTATCGGAACAGAAAAGAATAGCTATTTTGTAACCGCATGTCCATAATATTCCACTTATGTTAGTAACGTATGGTTTAATGTATTTGGAAAAGCATGTCTGGATACCTGATACGTATCTTTATACTCGGTTTTAGAAAAACCGAGTCTATAATGAAGATATAAAATATTGCATATTTATGAATAATCTGGACGGCTCCACGTCGACAACACTAAATATTAAACTTGTGTTAACAATATCATATGAGATTACGGCAATAATGACGAGTGCATTAAATTAACTTCTGCGCACGGTTAATCCCGCTTTATCATCCAGCATCATGACTCATCGTGCTCCATTGTTAACGATCGCGTAATACTGTTTTATCAATAAGTCTCATCAGCAAGGAAATAGCGTAATTCCGCGCGGAGGACATCTGTATAATCCGGGCGGAATAATTAATTTCTCAGTATATGAATTAATGTAAGAGTCCATGGTCGTATATCACAAACGGCGAAATCTCCCTTCAATAGTTTTCGGACAAGAAGGATTACCAGTTAAATGAAATTTTGACTGTTGCACGATCTAATCTTGTAATATTAAGTAGTTTCAATTGCTTAATATAAATGCGATATTTACTTGAGGTTTATTTTTTAGCATTTTACGTACAAATAATTTTGAGAAATAATTGCACGTCGTACTATCGACGAGACTAACACTGCTTTGTTTTTTATAAAAGTTCTAAAATTTAAATCATGAATTTTCATTTTAAGTATAATATTCATAATTTTTGTCTCGCGGTAGCTTAATTTATAAATAATGTATAAGTTTAACATGTTCTCCCCGTTATAAATGTAATAAATTACGTTTATAACAAAAGCAAGGCAAAGTAAAACCCGTTAAAAAAAACCGCTATGCATATGTTCATGACTATATGGATCTGATTCAACCTTCCACAGCCTTATATAGATTTTTACTGCCGTTGTAGTCGTATATAAGGGCACGTATATATCGAGGGGAATTATGTAAATTTTTCTCGCAAGATTATATCTAAATGAAATACATTTGCCATATGATTCTTTCAATATCTCCCT